AACTACGAGAAACTGGGCGATGATGTCTCCGTGGGGGACAGCGTGATTGTCGATCTTTCTCCAACATTCTGATCTGCTCGTTCTGTTGAAAAATCATCAGGTTTGTCTGATTAATTGTCGCGAATAGAGCCACCATGGTCGGGTCGACGTTGGTGGGTATAGGAATTGGTTGGAAGACAGTTGGACGGCGTTGTAGGTCACGTCGTCGGGGGAGGGTGAAGCGGTGTGCCCGTCTTAAGCGTCGCCTTCCTCGACTTGATCGATCACACTGGGCTCGTGACCGTCGCCATTGGTGAATGGGGTGAAGGTGGTTTCATGGATATTGTTGTCATTGCATGGGCTGACCATGATCAAACAGAGGTTGAAAACTGCTTTGATTCTTGAGCTTCAATGGGAGAAGGAGGGGGTGTACCTGCAAGGTACTCCGATGCTAAAGTAAGTTTCACCAAGAGAGAAAGCAAGTACAGAGAAAATGTGTAAATAATATAATATCTGACCCTCTAGTGAAAAAAGATATTTATAGTGTGCCCCCAGCGCAGGACCTGTAACACCCCCTTTCTACACCCCAAATAATTCAAATAATCATTTAGGCACATAATAAAAATTCCATCAGAGTATAATTAAAAACACGGTATAAAAGAGGCATGCCACATTATGCTTGAAATTAAAACATACAACACCTGCTCAACATATGATATGCAACAGTGGGGTAACTTTTGCAACGTAGGAACTTAGTCCTTACACCCACATCTCAATATTTAGAATGAAAGCAGAAAATATAAACATTGGATCACAACCAGCATGTATATACATATATACATATTCACATCATCCAATATAAGTCATCAACATCATTCATGTTTACATAAACATGCATCACCAAAAATACATATACAAATGTATCACCAAAAAGAGCCAAATGCTTCCGAGCTACCCGGTGTTACATATCAGAGCCATCTGACCAAAACAATGAAGACACACTTCACAAAAGGGATCACCAGCATACCTAATCTGCAATGCCTCAAGGGCACCATAAAACAACAGAAGGGTGAGAAATATTATCATAATAATCAATGCATATAATTATATATATATATATATATATATATATATATATATATATATATATATATATATATATATATATATATATATATATATATATATATATATATATATATATATATATATATATATATATATATATATATATATATATATATATATATATATATATATATATATATATATATATATATATATATATATATATATATATATATATATATATATATATATATATATATATATATATATATATATATAAACATAAAGATACACATATCTCCATTCTCACCACATTCATTATAATTCAAACATATACATTACAATGTATACACATATATTTATCACCAGACATTTCATCATGCACATTTTCACATATACATCATTCTACATAAACATACCCATATTATGTTTATTTCATCACCATTCACATAAACATCTACATTCATGTTTATTTCACCAATTCACAATTATAAAGATGATAAATCCACTCATAGAGACCGACTCACGACTCTATGCAGATGCAAACGCGGTACCGACTCAATCATCTCAAGTTCACTCAGGAACTTATTGTAACCATCGCTCACACCCCTACATGGGTACACAATCGTTCAGCAGATCCTCCTAGGGATCAAATATCATTAACCAGATTCTCCTAGGAATCAATTATCGTTCAGTAGATTCACCTAGGAATCAATTATTGTTCAGCAGATTCTCCTAGGAATCAATTATCGTTCAGCAGATTCTCCTAGGAATCAATTACCATTCAGCAGATTCTCCTAGGAATCAATTATCGTTCAGCAGATTCTCCTAGGAATCAATTACCATTCAGCAGATTCTCCTAGGAATCAATTACCATTCAACAGATTCTCCTAGGAATCAATTATCACCAATCCCCTTTTTGGGATTATGGGTACATCATTTGTACCCTACCAGGAATAACATCTCAGTTATTCTACCCCGACGATCATTCCACTAGGAACGACACATTAGTCATTCTACCCCAGTGAGTACGACTATATCACTTATACCTCACTAGGAACAACATCTTGTTATTCTACCCCAGTGATTACGACTCTTGCACATATACATATTTTCAACATCATTCTCACATTTACCAAACAATGCACATATATTCACAATATATTTCTCATGCATTCTATCGCATACAATCAATATGTCTTCACAATATCGTGCCAAACGGCAACGAACCTCATCATAATTCATCATGCATTCTATCGCATACAATCAATATGTATTCACAATATTGTGCCAAACGGCAACGAACCTCATCACAATTCATCATGCATTTTAATCAATTTAAATAATGCACATATACACGTAACTAAGCATATTCATCATTCATGCTTCTACAATTCACATCATATTATCACATATAATCCATATGCATTCACAACAATTATGCCAAACGGCAACCGAACACTCTAATTATTTAAGCCTCAATTACTTAAAATAATTAATCTCGATTAATCGGTAAAATCAGATAAAAGTCGGCTAAAAATAATATTTCTTTTCACCAAATTATAGAATATATTATTAGCTTCAGTTTGATATAAAGAACGACAAAATCCGATAAACGGTGAAGAAGTTATGAATTTTCAAAGTTTTGAAAAAATAATATTTTTCTCGCACTTACAGCGTTAACGGGTTAACGCATACCGTTAACCGGTTAACGGCTGAAAAACTTGGAAAAATAGCTACGGGTTTGCACCAAAAACCCCCCAAAACCCGACCAATTTAATTATTTTTTTCCCGATTAAATACCTACTCATCATTACCAATCATATAGTAACAATTTAGGATCATAAAACGCAAATTCTACGACTTCCGATTTTTATCCAAAATCTTAACCTCCAATTGACCAAAAATGTCAAAACTTACAAAATCACCCGATTAAATTCCAAAAAGCTCCAGTAATCTTAGCCTAACATTTTTCGACTAATCTACATCATTTATTCCAACTTCTAACCATTAAAACCTCGATTTTTATCGATTAATCCATTTCGACCTAAAAATGAAAAATGGGGAAAACTACCAAACAATCCAACCCAACACATACACAATCACACACATTGATAAGATAACAATATTTCACACTCTTACCCGATTATTCGATTCCTAGCAAGCGTTCTTGATGATTTTCCCAAGTTTCCTCTTTTTCTTCTCTTCTTCCTTCTTTCTCTTCTCTTTCCCTCTATTTCTCTTTTTCTTTCTTTCTTTCTCTCTTACTTACTATTATATCTCTTTCTTTCTATTTCTATTTCTTTTATATATATTTCCTCACTATTAAATGTATAATGACCAAAATACCCTTAAATCTAATTTTACCCGAAAACTCTCCGAAACGGTTAAATATCAAAACATACCATATTAACACATCAAGTTCACAATTAATACAATTATCACTCAAATCAAATAAAATACTCAATAAAATGTAATAATCAAAATCGGGGCATTAGAGGACCAACAATTACTTTGCAATGGGTTGGATTGCAAGATCCAATACGAGTAACTGTCAGGGCTTACGTGACGTAGGGAAGACCGACACATGGTTTTCGCACTGGATCAACTGCCATGCGATCTTCAGAAGGTGAGTTGGCCAGTTCTTTCGGAAGTGAGTAGTTGCCTGATGACGTGTCCCCGCGTGGGGGCACGTGGAGTCCGTGAGGGAGACGTGTGAGAGCTCCACGCGTGTGCAGGTGGGCTGGACCTCAATTGGGCCCTCCTCGACGAGGACTTGGGTTGGGCCGTTCCCGACGGTGGGTCAACCTTAGACGCACTCCAGAACATTGTGCTAGTAATGATCTGTTAGATCAAAAAATTATTTGATACGATATGAAATGTATTTAGATACACATGCAAAATTTAAAATGATTTACTTAATTGTAAAATGAACAATAATCATATAAATTTAATTGTATTAAATAACTATACAAAAAGAAGAAGAAAAAATTATGAGATGGTTAAAGAAAAAAATTAGAAATAAGGATTTTGTCTTTCAAATTAAGACAATGGTTAAATAAAATAAAATAGATATTGTGTTGATAGTAATTCCCGTGAGATATAATAAATTTTTAATTTTTTTAAAATTAAAAAATAGATTATTAGTATTTATAATGATAATAAATAAATAGATAGAAAAAAATTAAAATTAAAGTGAGAAAGTGTGGGAAAAAAATATAAAAGAGATTTGAAATTTAAATTAAAAAAAAAGAATAAATGAATGTAATATTTAATTATAATTTAATTGAAGAATATTTGAAAATTAATACACATGTCATACTCTTCTAAAAAATAAGAATGTAAAAAATTAACACTAATTACTTAAATTCCCTTTTGTTAATGTAAATAATTTGTATTGAAAGATGAATTTTAAAAAATGAATCAATTGATTTTTAATGGAGCAATAATTGATATCAATTTTCTTTTTAAAATAAACTACTCGCGGTAAAAATTAAACGCATTTACGCAGTCGCATAACTGTAAGATGATTAAAATAAAATAGTTGGTATAACCGTAGTAGTTATTCTTGAATTTTAGCAACTTAAATATATTTTTCATTTAAATTCTATATGAAAAGAAAAGTACTGTACCATATCCATTCGCGCTTGTGCTATTTAATATCTCTCCGAAATAAATTTCACTTAAAACAAATCTAATAACCAGTCATAAAATTAAACGCGAATTCAACCGTGCTTTCACTTCCCTGCGATCTAACCTGGTATTAATTTCCTCTTCCTCACTTTTTCCTATCTTTTTCTCTTCACGTTTCTTCCATTTTTATCAGAATTTCAATCTTTACTTGCTATCTATTTTACGCAGTTTCCTATAACTGCATAGTAACATGTTAACCACAGATTTAGAACTTGTATTGTACGTGTAGAGCTCCAGAGTAGTTGGTTACGTTTTTGGGCATGGCTGGTCAAAGTGAAACCCTAGATAATTCTATAGAGATGGATGAGTCTTTGATTGGGGTACTGGGTTGTGATTTGGGGGCAAGTGAAGGTGAATTGAATGATGGTTTGGGTTTTGGTGGATCAATTAAGGAGGGTAAAGATTTGAATCCTGTTATTGAAGGAGTTTTAGGGTTTGAGGGTTCTCAAGATATTGAGAGTGAGATGATTGAGTTGGGTGGAAATGAAGCAGCTTTGAAAACATTGGATGAGAAGGAGAAAGAAGTGATGATGAGTGATGCTGTTGAGGTTGAGTTAGATGAAGGGAAAGTTGGAATTTCTGACAAGATTGATAATTTGCATGAAGAGCAAGAATTTAGTGATGCTGATGAGGTAAAAGTCGTAAAGCATGTCTCTGTGAAGAATTCGGGAAAAAGTTATCAGGCGAGGTATCAGCTGCCAGCAGAAAAAGAAGGGAAGTTTTCTATGAATGATTTGGTTTGGGGGAAGGTGAGGAGTCACCCGTGGTGGCCGGGACAAATATTTGATCCGTTGGATTCATCTGCAGAGGCAATGAAGCATTTTAAAAAGAATAGCTATTTGGTAGCGTATTATGGGGATGGAACATATGCCTGGAATGAAGCATCTAAGCTGAAGTCGTTTAGGTCACATTTCTCTAATATTGAGAAGAATAAAAATTCGGAAGTATTCCAGAGTGCTTTAGATTTTGCTTTGGATGAAGTCAAAAGACGAGTGGAGTTTGGGCTGGCATGTTCTTGCATACCGAAAGATACTTATGAGAAGATTAAACACCAGACTATTGAAAACTCTGGGATTCAACAAGAGCCGAGTTTCATAAACAGAGTTGATGAATCTTTAAGTGTTAGCTCCTTTTTACCGGAGAATCTTATGAAATACTTGAAAGATCTATCCAAGTTTCCAACTGGAGGCTTTGACCGATTGGAGCTTTTAATAGCTAAGGCTCAGTTACTTGCTTTCTATCGTTTAAAGGGTTACTCTTGCTTGCCTGAATTCCAATATTTCAGAGGTTTGGACAACGAAATCAACCCCTCAATTAACGATACTGATAATAGATTGAGTGAGGTTTATGAGCATACAATTCATGTGAGTAAAATTGGCGATCAAACTGGTACCGGAAATTCAAAAACCACAAATCGATCCCGCCGCAAGCATAAAAATAATCTAAAGGATGATGTCTATCCAGCAAAAAAGAAAAGCTTGTTAGAACGAGCAAGTGTGACTCCAGATTCTACCCATGGTGATTATCTGAATGACGAGGCCAATGCTAATGTAACTTACCCGGTCTTTTCCAAGAAACGGAAGACTATTAATCACCACACTGATGTCTCGGGAATGAAAGGCAGAAGAAAAACTATTTCCCTTGTAAAAAGTTCAAACACCACAGTACAATCATTTAAAATCGGTGAATGTATCCGTAGGGTTGCTAGCCAACTTACTAGGCCTCCATCTTTATTGAAATGTTCTGGGAACAGATCTCAGATGACAGATGGAAATGCAGATAGTTTTTCAGGAAATGAATCTGATTCCTTCTCTCCGAGTCTCGAGGAGACTCAGAAGTCAAGCTTGACTATTCCTACAGAGGTTTCATCTCTAGATGATTTGCTATCTTTACTTCAGCGTGTAGCACAAGAACCACAGGGGGATTATCGTTTATTGAATGTTATAGTGAGTTTCTTCTCTGATTTTAGGAATTCAATCGCAATGGCCGACGATTCCAAGAAAGAAATCTTACCTACAGATGAAGTTGGCACTATAAGGAGGAAACAACCTGTAGGTGGATCTCCGAAAACATTTGACAGTGATGATCTGAATGACACACATTGCATCCAGAATGGTTCTGAAGAACAACAATCACAGAGAAGCAGCAGACTTGACCATCCAGAAAAACCTGTTCATGTGTATGCCCGTAGGTCATATTCCAAGAAACAATGTTTTGATAGCAACCATGCTGAGATTCGTGAAAAACCTTCTGGTTATATAGATGAGAAATCCCCAGCTGAACTTGTTTTGACCTTTAACGAGTTGGATTCTGTTCTCTCAGAAACAAGCCTAAATAATATTTTTAAGCAATTTGGACCTCTAAAGGAATCTGAAACACAAATTGATAGAGGAAGTAGCCGGGCAAGAGTGGTTTTCAAGAAATGTGCCGATGCGGAGGTTGCTTTCAGTAGCGCTGAAAAGTTCAACATATTTGGACAAAGTCATGTAGATTACCGGCTTAACTACTCACCAAGTGCATTTTTGAAAACTGCATCTTTTTCCACAATGCCTGATGAGGAAATGTATCTTAATCTTTCCAATGTTGAGCTTAATATGGCCTGAATCATTTGGTAAATAACTTATAACTTTCATATACATTAATTTGGTATTGAATGCTTTGATATTTGCACTTATTATGGCTGATGTGGTAGTAGTACATACTGTGCTATGCTTTTGATTTGAGGGCTCTTGCGAAAACATATTGGTTGAAGAACTGGAGGATGTTCAAAAACCCCTACGTTTTTCAATCCAGCCATGGCAAAAGGAAATAAGTGTCTGGCAACAGTATGAGACTACTAAAGAAAGAACTTCGGAAGAAAACAAGGTATTGGTTTTTGGTATCATTAAAGCCAAAAATCACATTAATTAAATTTCTCCAAATAATAATACCTTGTTTTCTTTCAAAATTATTTCTTTAGTAGTCTCAGTGCTGGCCACTTATTTCGTTTTTGACATTTATTTTAAATGCAATGTTCTATCAAAAACAAATTACATTTGCAATTCTCATTGTAGGGAGTGCTGAAAAGGTCGTGGCAGTATATATATAACTGAATATTCTGCAAAAACCAGTTTATCACTCAATGGGTGCCAAATGAGGTAACCAGAATGTTGATTCATCTGGTCATCCATTATTCTTTATAGATTTCCTTTTGGTAGTAGGATGCATCATGTTACGGCTTCTTAGTTTGCGATAGTTTTACTAATTTCCTGCTCCTTATTGTAGTTGCCATCTACAGATTTTTTGTGAACTCTTTAGTCTGTATCTATTATCTTACTTTAGTGGTTTAGAGGTTAGCACTATTCATATGGTTTAGGGTTACTAACTGCTTCAGAAACTTGTAAGTGCAAAAATATGTTAATTAGACCCATTGATGTCTTCATACTCATTGCATTTAGTTTTTAACTTTTCCATTTAATATACTCATTGCATTTAGCTTGTATTACTGTGCTGTTTATGGCTTGTCCGTTCTTAAATTTTTTGCATGCGTCATATAATAGGAAAATATGTGAATTTAAAAGAGGATTTATGGTAAGATCAGGGTTAAAAGATCTATGAAAGAGGTCTTGAATGAATTTGTTTCAGTGCACATTGGCTTCCCCAGCTCAATTAAGTGCCTTTGAAATCCAAGTAGCTGGTCCACATTGTGAAAGAAGTTTGGTAGTGATTAACATAAGTTTTTTATTTATTTTTAATTTAGCACTTCAACACTAAAATATTCTTGGTTGAAGCTTTGAAGAAACCATGACGAAGTTGGCAAGAAACAATTGGAGAATCTCACTATTATTGAGTGTGGATAGCTTTCATTAACCTTCTTTTCTTTCTTTTTCAGGCTGAATTGAAATTTAATACTCTATTGTGCAAACTTTTATTAATCATAACCTGATAGGTTTTACCCTACCGAGACTTGTTGGTAGCTGTCAACAAGAAAAAACATTTATCCTACCAAGTCTGTGGTGATTACTGTGCGATATAAGGCAAAAATTCATAAACTTAAAAGATAAATCTATTTGGGATTTTGTTTGGGTGAGATGATTGATTAAGAACTCAATTCAAAACACATTTAGTAATATTTTTTTTTTTTATGATTTTCAATTTTTTTTTTGAAATATTTATAATTTTTATTTGGATCTGTTTTTATACATCTCTCCCCGCTCCAACTTTTTACCGGTCGATAAATGTTCCTAACTGGTTGTTCTATTTGCCTCTGTTTGGGGAGTTCATGAAAAGAGAAAAAACTTTAATAATATTTGAGAGGGTATTTATATTCCGTTTTCAAATTTTAATATAATATTTGAATATTTTATCAATAATAATCTTATATGTTTATCGAGAAATAACCAGTTTGAATAGAAAAAAATTAATTAATAGAAGCATTATTAAAAAAACAAATAATTTAGTGTAACATAAATGTTTTATATTAATTCATTCTACACTAGATTTGAGCAATACAACAAGTGGAGCGGTTTGAAAAATTATTAAAATAAACCGCTTAAATAGTTCATCATTGAGATAGGGACATTTGTCTATATAAAACTCTACCACGCATTAGGAAATTACTTTTTGTATAATGTTCTTTCACTCTTTAAAAGTTACAAGTGTCTTGGCTTTAAGTTTGAAGATGTATTTTTAGACATGTTTTTTTTTATAAATTCTTCAACGCAAACTAGCCAAACATTCTTATTTTATTAAAAATTTAATTTGGAAATGCATATTTGTATATATAAATATTTAGTTCAAAGCAGAAACAATAAAGAAAAATAATATAAATTAACATTAAAATAAATATTACATAGATAATTGTTAACGTAACAAGTTGTTTATAACATTATATCATCCCTGTAATATCTTCAGGTGATTTTGTAATTGTTGCATCCGTTTCAATTTGGCCATATGTTGAGTAACGGTAAAAGGTATTTCACATAATTTTTAAATCCTCATCTCTATTCAGTTTAAGCATGTTGACCAATATCTTTTATTTGTTGTTAATCGAGGGTGAACGATACTTGAACTTAACAAATCTTGATTTTTTTTATTATGCAGGAGAGTATTCAATTTGAATTTCAAATCGACGAGAAGTATGTCTTCTGAGACCCTAGATTGAAGTGGGAAATTTGTGTCATTGAAATACACAAATGCAAAATGGGGTTATGCATTCATGTTTAGTGTCATGTCCAAAACAAATTCAATTTCCTCCAGAATTAAGACAATATACAATGGAATGACTGACTAGCTTGTCACTCGAGGCATAATTATATATATCAGAAATCACATTATATTTCCATGTGTCACCCACGTTATAGTATCCGCGCAATTTAAATGGACACTCACATTTTATGATCCAGTGTCATCTTGTTTCAACTTCATAATTTGTGGTTGATATGTGTTAATTCTTTTGCATCTCACTGTTACAAATGTTTGTCTTATACCCTAATCATTGTCAAAACTTTCGATTACAACCCCAAACTCCGATTTCTCGACCCAATATAGCATATATTCACAAACAATAAACTCTTGTTCATTTGTAAATTGTGCATGAACATCTACCTCGTCAACAACAGATCGAACACTCAAATTAACATCATTCATTTTAACATCATCATTTACTTCATCCAATTTAACGTCCATCCTCACAATAGTTTAGTGAAACATGTATGGATACACCACATGTTTCTCAAAACATATTCAAAATTCAATATCAGGCAAATTCAGAGATGTATCTTTGGACCACACCAAACTTTGCCCGAAGATACATATCAAGACTCAACATTTTTTTGGGTCCAAAAGAACACATTAATGCAAAGAATAGGGGATGAAAATGAACTTTACTCACAATTTCAGCTTGTTTTGGTGTCAAAAAATTGATTGAGAATGAAACAAATTTTTATTAAGGGTTTTGAAATAAAAGTAGGCAAAACAACATGAAGAGGAAGATCATGTAAAATGGTATTTTATCAAATTTTCAGACATGTATCTTCAAAAACATCAATGAATTGTTAATTAAATCATCTCAATGAATAAAATCAGTATACATAAATACAAGAGACTTCACGAAAATACATCTATTAAAACATCACGAACAATATTCAGAAATACATATCCAAATTATAATTAATTTAAAATAGAGTGAATCTCAAAAAGATAAAGATTGTTGTAATTTTTAATACATTCAAAGATACATCTCCAAACATATAAACATTTTTAAATTTTAACCAAAAGTGGATCGCACTCTTAAAGAAGATTGAGACATTTATTACGACTATAATGAAGAACACCAAACGCTAGTAGGGACCAACGAGACCGATAGACCAATGAAGAGCATAGGGTAATTTTAATTGTCTTTCAATCTTTGGATGAATGTTGGAACTATTACGGTATTTAATAACGTGACACATTTGATTTCGTCTTGCAAAGATTGGCTCACTTTCCTGACTTTTTAAAAATATGACATGCCATCATGAGTTGTACTTGCATATTACTTCAACCACCAATTTCAACATATTAACTTTTTTGTTTGTTTTAAAAGTAAAATCACTTAACTGAAGCTAACAAACCTTCCAAGAACATTTGTGCTTCGGCAACTATAAAAAGAAAATCACCATAGAGAGAAATAAACTATTTGCCCTAAAAATTACATGAAACAATAAATGCAGTTTGTATTATATAATATCTAAACAAAGTTCTCAAAGGGACTACTCACCAAAATAAGTTACACGGCAAATCATATGCAGAACCAAATTTGAAATTTTAGTTGGCATTGCATCTAAATTTGAAAATTTAATGATTCTACTCAAAATCTACATGAATACCGCAACAAAATTTTAACATCCTTTTTAGGAGAAGCGTCGTTTCTTTTGCTAGAAAAATGGTGGAAATAGTAATGGAGATAGGCATCTAATCTATTCATGGTTTTGCATGGAAGGCAAAACCAGATGTTGCGGATGCACCTGCAAATCATCAACAGATTAAAAAATGTTACCAAGTCCTAAGAAATATGCTACCACAAAGCTCTCAAATGCTTCAAATTAAACTACAAAATTTATTTAAAAGGAATGTGTATGGAAAGCATGAAAAAGTCCAGTCTTGAGCTCAGGAGAGCCCAGAGCCTTGCAAATCACAGAATCTGGCTCAAATAAGTGTGGCTAATAGGCTAAAATGTGACTGGGTTCTGTAAGTATTATGCACTCTTCTGGGGTGCTCTGGGCAAAATGTGATACTACAGGCCTAAAGGTTATTAACACAAACGAGAGAAGATGCTACGAAAAACAATTATCAGCCGATTGTTCTGTTATGCAGCTGTTAGATTCGGTTAGATTGCAAGAGAAAATAGCTAGCTAAATGCTAGTAGTCAAACTTGCCAGTCTAAGATTTTGAAAACTAATACAGTTCTGGTAAAGGTAGAGATTCAAAAAATGAGAGAATGAGAAAATTAGAGGAAACAGAGAGATAGTTGAATGAATAATTTTTATGATGCATAAAAGATGTTTCTGAACTAAGAGCAATTGCAAAACGTGTGAGGCGCGCACGTGCGTGTTGGAGATCAACTAACTACAAAAGTAACACTTGGCATACTTACTCTTCTTAATAACTAAGTATAGACATTGAATCTCAGAACATAGAGAGCTTGCGGAGACTCAAAATATAATGCATGTATAGGGATCACACATACTAGACCTGAAGACAAAGCAAATTAGTATAGTGAAAAGGTGTACCGAAGCCAATAGATAGTTTTGTTCCAACTGATGATTTCATGTCAGTCAAAATCAGATTTTAAAATAGCTTATGTTGGGTTGAATGTTATGGGGCATGAAGAACAGGGTGAGGCAGGAACGGATTAATAGAGAAAGATTAGGTCTCTGGGTGACTGAGAAGAAATGGAAGAAGAAACTAGAGTGTAAGTGTTAGGCTGTACAGTGGAGGGGGAATAACATGTAAAAGAATAAGAATAGGGACTAAAAATGAGTTTGGAGCATGTGGTTAGTGGCCGAAAAAGAGATCTAGAGGCCCTGAAAGAAAATATTGGACTTAGAGATAAAAACCCTGCAACCAGGAAAAGACAGTGAAACTTATATGGAAGATAATTGGACTTAGAGATAAAACCCTGCAACCAGGAGAAGACAGTGAAACTTATATGGGATGATGAGTACCCAGGAAATACACATCTTGGTGATAGGTATGCCGACGCTAAGCACAATCAAAGATCCCATGAGACTAAAAATTAGGAACTTCAAGAAAAATCATGGCAATAGGTATGCCAACATTAAGAGAGGCTGTAGGTAACATGTAAATCAGGTATACAATAGTCAAAAAGACGTGATTTCAAAACCAAATGATAATCCCTGAGAATTATGTGGATAATCCTTGAGCAGATAAAACTTATCAAATATTTAAATATGAGCATGTACATGTTCACTAAAAAAATGAGCAAGCATCTATTCAAGAGAGACAGAGATTGTTACCTGGGAACCCATATAGTTCATAGAACCCTGATGAACAAGCTGCCATAGCATAAACCAACATCAATAGAAAGTACATATTAGCTGATAAACTGAACCTTGATTTGACCAACAAGTTACCATAATAAAAAACACAAATACAAAAAAAGATCCGCAATCACACCTGCGAATTTTGTCCTCCGGGGCTAACTTGATCTCGTCTACCAGATCCATCACAACCTCTAATAGTTGTTCCTTTACTGTCACCCTATCAGAAATTAATGTTCATAAATATTAGCATTTCCATTGTCAAGATAGTCCATGATAAACCGCAAAATAACACAAACAATCATAGAGGAGGATTAACTAACCTCTAACTGTGATATTGTGGACATTTCAAAATCACCAAGAGAATAAAAATGAAACAAACAAACAGTCAGATAATCATTATTAAGCCGTAAAGAGCATTGTTAAAATTTCAGAGAGAGTGTATATGATTCATCCAAAAACAAACATTAACCAAATGGGGAAAAAAGGATAGTGAAATTACCTCTCTGTATCTTGCTAGATACACCTTAAGCGGTTCTATATAGTCTTCAAATCCTAAAGTAGCCATTGCCCATAACAAATCATCTCCATTAATGGTCTTTCTCTTCTCTTTTTGGCATTTCTCACTAGCCCTACACAACCCACCCAAAATAACCATATCCAATTCAGAAAAACAACAAACCAAACAAAACCCTAAAACATAAATTAACAAAGCACTAATCTTTCATTACATTCCAAAATACCCCAATTCTCAAAAACTGAAATTTACATTATCCATCATCAAAAAGAGCGTAAAAGAAATCATTTTTGCAAACGGTTCTTACTCGCTGGTAATAAAACTGATGAATTCGGACACACATTCCTGCATTGTATCTTTAGCATCCTTAGCAATCTTTCCATTGGAAGGCAGAGCCTTTTTCATGATCCTGCTAATGTTAGCTATAGGCAAGAAACGATCTTGTTCACGCGCAGCAGAGGAAGAGCCACGTGGACTTTGTTCGCCGCCACTCTCGTGGTCGTGGCCACCGCCAGCTGGACTCTCGGAATCTGCCATGGCATAAACCCTAGAAAGAACGAATCAGATCAAAGAAATAATTACAAACTAACCAATGTAAAAATAAAATAATAATGTGAGGAATGGTGGAAATTAAATGGTGATTGAGACAGAACGGTAAGATCCGAAATGCACATGGATGGATGAAATTGAATAGTTTGTGTATAGTACCTGTGTGTATGAATAAGAGAGAGAAACCAAAAAAAATGTGTATTTGGCGCTCGAGCAGTGGTATCAGGGAAGTAATTGATTGACTGGTGGGGGGTTTTGCTTACAAGACAATATTAAAATGACGAAAGTACCCTTAACTTAATAGTGTTGCACATAGGGGTGGACAAACACTCGATAACCGACCCAACCCACATCAACCGATGGTAATAAAAGGAATTGGGTTGGATGTATTCGGGTTTTCGGGTTTGCGGGTCATTTGAACCGGTTTCATAAGGGTTTAATTGGGCGGGTCCGGTTCAACATATTGAAACTGTGGGTACCCATACATACTCGTCTGATACACATCATTTGAAATGCACAGAGGTATGTCTTGATGTTCTCTCTCGTGGGTACCTATACACTTGGTAAACCAGTAAACCACATCAAGACATATTGAAACCAGTAAACCATCTCATTTACCACCAAGTTCTCTCTCGTGCAAACCACATCATTTCAATTGTAAACCAGTAAACCACAACCCTAACATTTCCAGAGTTTTGTTCTCTCTCTTCTAATCATGTCATGAACCCTAAATACGAACATCCACTTCCATTCGCCGTCGTAGATCCCCTTCTACTTTGTTCCTCACTGTTTTTCTTCTGAAGTTCTAACTCACATCTTTGTCTCATATCTTCCATCGGTCTTTTTCATTTCTCTTCTGACTCATATCTTTGCTGTTTCTTATGAAGGTTTGAAGACTTTTGGAAGTTTGACTCGAAAGTGACATCGAAGGTTTGAATACTTTTTCAGCTAAAGGTTTGAACACTTTCTTTGGATTGTTTTATTTTGTATGATTTTGTGACTTGTGCTTTCTATTTGTTTCTTACCAAAGATCACATCTTTTTTATGATAGGGATATCTAAAGATTTGAATGGAAATTTGAATCGAAGTTGACATCTTTTTGGTGATATGGAGAGGTAAAGGTTTGAAGACTTTTTTGGATTATTTTTGTTTTATATTGTTTTCTCTCTTGCTCTATTTGTTTTACAGTACACAATTTTATCTATTTTGCTGCCTCTGTAACTTAATGAATTTAACTAGTTTGTGTTTTACAGTACACAATTTCTTTAACCAAGTGGAATGGACCAAGGTCAAAGTGGAATGGATCAAGGTAATTTCTTTACAGTACACAGTATGTTCTAGTATGATTTTAAGTGTATGCAATGTGTTTATAAATATGATTTTGATCATAGTTTTTAAGTGAATTGGAATGTTGATTGGTAGTTTTTGATAATGGCTCTTTCGTTATTTCAGTGACTGGTGAGCCTAATCAAAATCCATCAGTTAATGAAGTAGGTTCAACTACACAACCTACAAAAAAGAGAAAATCTAGTGCAAGTGGTTCTAGGCAATCATCTGCTTACTGGGAACACTTTGTTAGATTACCTGATGACCTTGTTGATGCATCCACTGCAGCCTGCAAACACTTCCATAAAAAATACTCGTGTGACCCTAGGACTCACGGCACCACCAACCTGAACCATCATATTTTAAAATGTCCTAAGAAGCCCCATGTTGTGTCAATTGACCCCACACAAACTATTCTAACATACCCAACTGTAGATGGTAACTTAGTTCAAGTTAGCTCTAGGTTTGACAAGAAAGCTTGTAGAAGTGCGTTGTCTGTTTTTGTAGTTCTAGATGAGCAGCCATTTAGTGCAGTAGAGGGTGAAGGGTTTAAATTTTATTCCAAAGTAATGCAGCCCCAATTTACCATTCCATCTAGGCGTACGGTAGCTAGGGACTGTTTTCAGCTACACTTGGATGAAAAACAAAAGTTAAAGGCCTTTTTAAGTCTGACTGCAATAGGGTAACACTTACTACTAATTGTTGGACTTCTATACAAAATCTCAATTACTTGACCCTTACGGCACACTTTGTGGATAATGATTGGAAGTATCAAAAAAGAATTATAAGCTTCGCCGTAATTCCAAACCACAAGGGTGAAACTGTTGGTAGGAAGATTGAAGAAGTGTTGAGGGATTGGGGAATCAAAAATGTGTCAACCATAATTGTTGACAATGCCACTTCCAATGATGTTGTTATGGCATATCTAAAGAAAAAGGTTGCAAATATGAATGGGTTGATGGGGGATGGAGAGTGTTTTCATATGAGGTGTTTTGCTCACATTTTGAACTTGGTGGTAAATGAGGGTTTGAAAGATAAACATTTATTTGTTACTAGTGTTAGGGATGTTGTTATATTTGTTAAGTCCTCACCTCATAGGGCAACCAAGTTTAAAGAATGCATTGAATTTGCTGGGATAACTAGCAAAAAATTAGTATGTCTTGATGTTTCAACTCGTTGGAACGCGACATATTTAATGCTAGAGGCTGCAGAGAAGTTTCAACTCGCTTTTGAAAAGCTTGAGGATGAAGAGTCGAGTTATAGGAAGTTCTTTGGAAAAGGTAATCCCCCTAGTAGTATGATTGGGACACTTCTAGGGTTTTGGTGCTTTTCTAAAGTTATTCTACGAAGCAACTAAGATTTTTTCCACCTCTCAAAGTGTGAGTCTGCATACTTGTTTTCACCAAGTGTCTGCCATTTATTGTGAGTTGAAACAAGCTACAATGAACTTAAATGATGTTTTTGCAAGTGTAGGTGGGGATATGATGTAAAAGTATAATAGATATTGGGGGAATGATGATAAGATGAACAAGATGATATATTTTGGTATTATTCTTGATCCAAGATATAAGTTGAGTTACATTGAGTGGACTTTTAAGGAGATGTACGGAGTTGGATCAAAGTTTGGTAGTGACTTGGTAAAATCTATAAAAGCGGATTTACAAAAGTTGTATGATTGGTATAAGCAAGCTTATGACCAAAAACATAATTCCACACACCCTTTTGGTAGTGGTGGAAATAATGTCTCCAATGACGAAACAACTGTAGGTGTTGCCCGTTCATCCATTATGGCTAGAGCTGATGCTTTTGAGCAACATTTAGAGGAACAAAACTCGATTGATCAACAAAATGAGCTTGAGGGGTACAATTCTAGTAAGTGTGTTAAATGGGATCCTAACTTTGACATTCTTGTGTGGTGGAAACGCAATTCAGCCGAATATCCTATTTTATCTACAATGGCTAAAGATATTTTAGCCACACCAGTTTCTACCATTGCTTTCGAAAGTGCTTTTAGCACAGGAGGGAGGGTCATAGAAACCTATAGGAGCTCTCTAACTGCTAAAATGACAGAAGCTTTAATTTGCACGCAGAATTGGTTAAGGCCTTCTTTAACCTATTTCAAAGATATGAACCTCATGGAAGATTTTGAGCTTTCAGAAGATATTGTAACAGGTCAATTTATTAATTCATTTTGAATATATAAGATATTCTATTGTTATATAATTATGTCTTTTTAAAAAATATTTTTTTTCATTATTTTAGAGTTTCAACAAATGTCTTCAGCAGCAAGGGGAGGATCAGGTGTCTCATCATCACAGCCTCAGCCACAACCTTCTGGTTGTGCTTGAAATGGATGTATGTATATCATATTTACTTTATTACTTTATTATTTTTTTTATAACTAATGTTTATGTTGTCCAATTTTTCAGGTCAACTGTGTTTTTTGATTTTTTGGGGTCATATATGACCTATATATATATATATATATATATATATATATATATATATATATATATATATATATATATATATATATATATATATATATATATATATATATATATATATATATATATATATATATATATATATATATATATATATATATATATATATATATATATATATATATATATATATATATATATATATATATATATATATATATATATATATATATATATATATATATATATATATATATATATATATATATATATATATATATATATATATAACTACTGAATCGAAAAATATATATTTATATTTTGTCCCTTGAATTTTGAGATGCACAACTTATGATGCACAACTTTTGGATATGGAGGGTATGTAGTTTTGGTTACGTTGGAGTTTCACTTTTTAGCCCTGTGATGCACAACTTATGGATATGGAGGGTATGTACTTTTGGTTGATCTACATTTTCAAATAGATTAAATACTTTGCTATCCTCATTTCCTCAAGTGTGTAATGAAATTTACAGGGTACCGGCAATGCAAACTTTTACTTCACTACTGCAATTGGTTATGCTTCCTTGATGTCGCACGTTCACCATCATGGAGCTTGAGTGGAGGTAAGGTTCCAGCTTTCAATTTCCAATGTTGTAATTTTGGTGTTGTTATGAATTATGAATTGTTTCCGTTGTTGCTCATGTGTACGTGATTCAATTTCTTTCTTTCTGATCTTCCAATTTGTGTGTACTATGCTGATTTTTATGCTTTTCTTGTATGTGTGTGTTGATGTGTATATGATTCTGTGATTTTTCTTCTCTGATGCTTCTCTATGTGTGAATATTTTGATCTTCCCTTGTGTGCTTGTTGCAGATCTGTCCATGTCAAGCAATTTTTCTACAGTGGTTAGTTTTGATCAACTGATTTGGGACCATAACTGATTTGGATAGTATATGTTTGATTATTTGTGTTACATTGTTGTGAACTAAAGTATATAGTGTCAATTACAGAATTTGATTACATTGTTACAATGTTCAATGGAAAAACAGAATTTGATCAACTTGACAAGGTATATAGTGTCAATTATTTGGTAGAACATATGCTCCATTTTTCTCTTGGTAATTTTGTTGTATTGTGCCTAACCACTTTTATTACAGGGGTTGCTGCTATATTTATGTCTGTTATTTTCCCCCAGATTTTCAGGATACTTGGCAC